GGATGGATCGCGGGAGTGGGGGATCGGGGTGTCTGGGGGGATCGGGATTTCCGGACGCGCAGGAATCTCTAATCTCCTTGACTAGAGTGAGGCGGCCGCTCGGAGATTACACACAATAGCCGGAATAAGAGGGAGCAGAGAGGGGAAGGGCGGCTGCATGGAGGCGGAAGGCATGGCCGGGGAGGCTGAGCTCACACACACACAGATCGGGGGAGGAGGAAGCGAACACTGCACGGCGATCCATCAATGCTTAACCCTTCACTGGGCGATCACCGACTGAGGGGGGGCTCTGCAGAGGGAGAGCCTTCCATGGACCAGAGACATAGTCAGCTGACAGGGTATAATGTGGCCCCTGATGTCACCAAAGGGCCACACATAATATCAAGTAGATCTGGCTACAGAAGGCTGTAAGGCCTTTCCGATCAGATCTACCAATCACTTTCTGATTGGAAGCTCAGCGTCAGTCTATGGGCTGCATAACAGATCTGCGTCCCATTACCTCCGAGCCGGACTAGGTCCAGGGGAAAAAAAAGAAAATGGGAAAGGTTTGCGTCTGACGGATCGGAGGTGAGAGGATGGAACGGGATGCACGTCTGTTTACCTCTGCCTGGTCGTAGACCTAACATGGGTCTGTTAAATACAAGATGGAGGAAAAATCTGAACGGACATGGAGGTCACAAACGTGACATCTGTTCTGTTGTGCTCCGACTCAGCATGGGCTCTGTTCACGGATCCCCTGCTGATCGGAACCGACGCTGCCTACGTGAAAGGGCCCTAAGGACTCATTCACCCTGCCGTTGACATATGCGTTTATAAGACATTTCTAAACACATATAATGATTTCTATTGGTACTATTCAAACCGTGCGTTTAAGTGGGATCAGGCTACTTGCGTTTAGAGAACTTAAATTCTGTGCATCCAGGGACCTATTAGATCTCTAAGAGCCCAATCACACCAGATGCAGTGGGCGCTGTCCCAATGCACAGACAAGGCAAAAAACCTTATTTTTTAATGAGGTCAGTTCACCCCACAGTGTTGAGGTGAATAGAACTGAATGAAATGTCTCTAGTAGGGATTAGGGATGAGCTCAGGTTGACTTCAAACCTGAGCTCTTCTAAACAAGAATGTCACATGGACACTTCCACCCAATCAGCTGTGGCCAGGTATTCTCCTTCCTGCAGCTGTATGTAAACAAAGAGGCGGGATGCTTGAGCTGTCATTATTCATAGCCATATTAGGTAAATGTCATGTACCAAAGATAGGCAGGTAGCCACATAAGGTCAATGACATCACAGTATTCTATCCCTTTGCTTACATCAGGGGTGGGCGGCTCTGGCCCTCCAGCTGTTGTGGAACTACAAGTCCCACTAGGCACTGCAAGACTGACAGTTACAGGCATGACTCCCAGGGTCATGTTGCGATTCTTGTGATAATTCAATAAAGTTTAACAAAGTGAATAGTACAATGAGCCGGAATTGGCGCCTCAGTACTGTTCCAGCCACTGTGCGCTCAGTGCAGCTGGCTGGTGTGAACAAGCCATAAGGCTGTTATGAACACGGCTCCCCTCCTGTGTTTCAGAAATTGAACTGGAAGTGTCAAAAAAATGTACTTCCCAGGTCAAGTTCAACTGCGTTTAGATGTTCTTGCATTTACATGCACTTCTCTGCATAAAACTGGAATAAACAGTCTCTAAACGCACACATTCCTTGTTTGCGTAAACGCAGCATGACTCCGCTGAATGTCTAATGTGCTTTCAGCTATAGAACAGCATTATATGCTTCCACATGTGCTTAAAGATGAGCTCCAAATGCACCTGGACTCATGTATTTTCATGACCGTGTGCATGAGGCCTAACACTTCATTCATGTCAGCCTTCTGCATTTTCTTTATGTAAACACAGGGGAAATGATCTGGGAAGTTTACACAAACGTTGTTTCCCAGATCACTTTTTTCAGTCCAGCGTTAATGATGCCATTAAAAATCTTTACCTGCATTAATATAAGTGTAGAAATGGACTGTAAACGCAGGTTTGACATCCCATGTGTGGATGAGGCCTAGAGTACGGGTCTCAAACTCAATTCACTCGGGGGGAGGGGCGGGGGGCTCACTGGACAAACGTTTTTCTCCCATGGGGGCCGCTTGCCAAATTTTATACTTCAAAATCAAATGTAACTGTTCGGTATCAGTGTTAATGTCTGCTTGTGTATAATGTCAGTATATTTTTGTGATGGTTTATGTGTGTGTGTATTGTCATGATTTCTGTGAGTGATGTCGGTTTGTGTGTTAATGTTTCTGGGTGTGTCCAATTAGTATGTGTATATGTGTTTTTGTTTTTTTCTTTTCCCACAGGTTTTAATTTGAATCATAGAAGATATGCACACACTTATTCACACATAGAAGTATGCACACATAGAAATACCAGCACGCAGAAATACGCACAACGAGAAATACACACGCTAATATGCACACAATAAGCCCCTATTCACACCTGTAAGTTTTTAGGTGCGATTTAGGGATTCTTGCAGCAGGAACCTCTGCTCTGGCATTTACAAGCGGCAGCTGTCACCCATCCAAGTTATAGATCAGGTGACAGTCGCTGCATGTAAACGCCGACACACTATATGTAATGGTATGTGAAATGATTACATACAGTTAGAAAACAATCACTCTACCTGGATGCACGATTGTGCGTCCAGCGAGAGCAATTTATTCCTAACCGCATGTAATCATATCACATATCATTACATATAGTGTGCCGGTGTTTACATGCAGCGGCTGTCACCCAATATGTAACTTAAGTGGGTGACAACTGTCGCTTGTAAACATCAGATTAGGGATTCCTGCTGCAGGAAAACACATACATATACCAGGGAGTAGTCACTTAGTATGAGCAAGCTGCAGATGTGACAGGAGAATGGAAATATAGGAGATAGTCAGAGACTGGGCACACAGCATTTAAAACTGCTAGACAATTATAAGCCCCCTTACAAGTCATTGGTCCCATTACTGCCTGCTGGGGTTCATGGGCCACACAACAAGTGCCAAAGGGCTGCATGTGGTCCTAGAACTACAGGTTGGGCAGCAGGGATCTAGACGCTAGGAAAAGGAAGCCTGCTAAAAACATAGATTCTGCAAATGCTGACCTCTGATTATTAGCCTGGCTCTCAGGTAGCGACAAGCTCAGATTTAGACAGAACTCCAGCTCATCCGGACTCATAAGAACTCCTCAGTCAGTACCAGCTCAATCAGGTGTGGTCAGGGCATGTTCCGGCCCACAGCTGCAGGTAAGTAAAAGGGCAAGATGCTCTTGACAGCATTGAAATTATAGCGCTATATTAGGTCAATGTCATTGACCAAATATGGCCATGTGACCATATAAGATCAATTATGTTACCAGCATTCCACCTCTCTGTTTATGTCTGGTTGCAGGTTGTGGAATGCCCTGGGCACAGCTGATTGGGATGGTACTGACAGCTTCCTCCTGGGTTTGGTCCAAACTCGAGCTCATGCCTGTTGTCATGTTGAAGTCTAGTTCACACCAGCCCCAGTGCATTCCGGCCCAATTTGGTTGTCGGAG